GTGGAGTTTATCCTAATTTACAGCTTTGTGTGATGGTTAAACTTCGTGGCTAAAGACTCCTCATTAGTTGCCCCCCATTCTTGGGTTTGTATGTCAAACATAGAGAATGTAAAGATTTATTCCTTTAACTTATTCTTCACCATGCCATATATATATTTACATTTATATTATTATATATTTTTATTTTTGTCCAACAAGTAAAGATAACACATATATACTTTACTTGTTGGAGAAATGCACATGGGCTCACGTAGCCCATATGGTTAAGACCTTCCACATTGGTCACAGGGGTCATGGGTTCAAAACTCCCTTCAAGCGCCGAAATACTCTTTTAAATTAAAAGAGGTAGCCACGTGGCAATGTAGGAGAGGCTGCCATGTGGCATACTTAAGAGAGGCTGCCCCGTGGCGGCGAGGAGATGGGCTGCCACGTGGCGGTGAGGAGATGCCACATGGCACAGCTTGCAACACTTGTATGTTGTATAGCAGTAGGCATCACATCAAAATATATTTATATAGAAAAGTAAAGTAGGATGCTCTTATAGGGTCAAAAAAGTAAAGTCTTCAGAAAAATCACGAGCAGAAGAATCACCAGAGACATCAAATAAAGCCTGAGAAATCAAGCACGCCTTCATTATGACTTCTTCTTTTTTTTTTTCTCTTTTTTTTTTTTTAAATCAACTATTCTCATCGGGAAAGGACGACACTCCTTCTTCACCTATTCGCCTTATTTAAGGAAAATAGAAGAGTAAGCTGCTACCTTCATAATCTTTCAAGGTAAATGTCTTTTTCTCCCATTGTTTTTTCTATGTGATGGATAGTGTTAATGTAGACATGGGAGACAACACTCAGTCTTCAATTTCGGAGTCTGATCTGAAAAAATTTCGATTTCTGTACGCTATTCCTTCTTATATCCACATCCGGGCTCCCCTCTCCATGAAAGAGCCTCCGATGCTCCAAATGGTGAAATTTGTCTCTTTGAATATGCCTTTCTTGTTAGGTTACACCTACCCTTTCCCCCATTGATTAGAGAATTTTTCTCCTTCCTTAGAATTACCCCAGGACAACTGACCCCAAATGCCTGGAAGGCCTTAATTGTAACGACCTACTCCACCACATAGTATGATATTATCCACTTTGGGCCTGAGCCCGCACGATTTTGCTCTTGAACTTTACCTTAAAAGACCTCATACCAATTGGAGATGACACACTTACATATAAGCACTTCACCTTTCCTCTACCCAGACGATGTGGGACTTATGCACCTGTAGCTCGCCAGTGTGGTAGCCTGACAGTGTCTCTCACACCCGCCCACTGCACACCCGCCCACATGGTCATCATAATCCACCCCCCTTGGAGGCCCGACGTCTCCATCGGCATACTTCCGGCTGGGTCAGGCTTTGATACCATTTGTAATGACCCACTCCACCATATGGTATGATATTGTCCGCTTTGGGCCTGAGCCCGCAGGGTTTTGCTCATGAACTTTACCTCAAAAGGCCTCATACCAATTGGAGATGATACACTTACATATAAGCATTTCACCTTTCCTCTACCCAGGCGATGTGGGACTTGTGCACCAGTAACTCGCCAGTATGATAGCCTGACAGTGTCTCTCGCACTCGCCTACGGCACACCCGCCCATAGGGTCATCACAATAAGGGAGCAGGCTCCCCTAAACAAAGAGGCGGTTCCCCAAGGTGGGGAGCCGGCTCTGTGGGCATGGGAGGCGGCTCCCTCAAAAAGGGAGTCGGCTCCATGAGTGATGGAGGCGGCTCCCTCTTGGTTTTTTCTATTTTTTTATTTTATTTTTCTGTTAGTTCCAGTGAGTGTTGGGCTACAGTGAATGGATTTTTAGGGTTTCAGACTTCAGTTAGGGACTATGATGGTAGGTTTTGGATGGTTTAGAGGTACAGGTTAAAATACAGAATGTATCCTCAGTTCTATATTGGTAGGAATTTGAATAATCGAAATTTCTTAACAATTGTGTCTACTAGTTTTAGCTATGGATAATTAAATTGCTTGGACTTATTTTAGCAATTTTCTGTTAGTGATTTTATGTTTCAAATCATATATCAATGGAAAAAGAAATAAGCATGTCAAATCTTTTATTTTTGTTATGTTTGTTAAGGATTAAATTGATGTTTAAATTTCAGCATTTATCGCATCAATTGTTGGATTGAGAATATAAGCATGATAATTGGCCAATGTTATTAAGCTTGCTATGAAATTAATTGAAGTAAACATTTATCCATGTTCTGATAATTATGTGGATTCTGTGGATTAGTTGGTATTTGTATTCGTTATTTGTATTATCAACTATTGGATGTATGGATTGTATGCACCGGTATGGGACGGTGGCATACTAGGGGCTGATTTGTTTCAAAATACTAAATCCTACCTGTGCTGGAATAAGGGAATGGATTATAAAATAAATCCTACTTATATTTAAGTCAAAGAAGCTGCACAAACTGAATGACTAATTAGATTACTTGTTATTTATGCTAAGTTAAAGAAGCTGCACAAGCTGAATGACTAGCTAGATTTCTTATGGATGGATATGATCGGATTTTAAAAATATATTTATGGTACCGCGATATGAACTTGAGTCTCAGAATCGACGGTTAGGGAGCGTATATGCAGTAGGATGCGTAGCTGGCTATGTTAATTGAGGTATATCCTGTTAGGCTTAGGCAGTCATGCCTACTCAGGTGCGTTTTGCCTGTTGCCTTCTACTCAGGTTGAGACCCTCATCATAGTCTAATGAGAGTCCCATAGTGTGGATATATATTTATGTACGGACTACATAGTTATTGTTGAGTTGGTTAGGATATACATGCGTATTGAGTCTCTGTTGGATTGTAGTAGGATGAAACTTGTTCTTGGGCCTTGCCCACTTCTATTTTTCAGGTATTCACTAGTTCCAGTCTTAGACCTGATCGTGCTGAGCAGAGACTATCACTCACTTTTCTGACGACGTAAGACTTCTCTCCGTGGTTTAATTTTAGATGTTCTTTTAGTTATTTTCATTTCAGTTTGGATTTTCATATTAGGGGTCCAATGGATGGATTCCCGAGTTGTTCAACTATTAGAGGTTGTAGCTTTTAGGTATTACATTTTAAAGGATTATATTTCAGATTTCTTTCAGCTGTTAATTATTTATTTCTTATTTCCTTTTGTAATCTGTGTTCATTTAAATATTAATTGTTTGATATTTCCCTCGAGTTTGGGCTTGGGCCTGATCAACTCATGTTTCGGATTCGAGAGGTATCATATTAATAGGGTGTGTTGTCTTATGGAAGGCATGTGGTAACCCTCCTTTAACTATTAACAAGGTCTTGCTATGTTATACTCCAACGAAGGTAAATCGATCGTGGTGGAACCTAACCAGCTGATGTAAGTGTCACTTAATTGAGGGACTATCCAAATCAAATTCAGAGTGGAGAAGCCGATTCTTCTTCGTTTCAGGAAGGAACTGGGAATTTTCTGACCAAGATACCCGTACCGAACTAGGAATTTCCATTCCCCGTACTTGGGGTCAAGTAGACCTCAATGGTGAGTTACTTATGCATGCATATTTTATTACATGGCGGATGACACGTACTGTTTCTTTTTTCTAGGTTTTCGTACTTTGGGTGCGCCAGCTGAAGCGGAGGAAAATATAAACATAGTCATTCAGTATTGTCAGGAAGTTTGACCGTCACACAAAGTTGTAAATCAGGATAAACTCCACTATCTTTGATAAGGATAAAAATACGTTTTCCCTTCCGTGTTGGAAAAGTATGAGGAATACTACTCCTTCTTCAATACAACTTGACACCCCTATAAAGAGGGCTTTCGGGTTAACATAAAAGGGACGACACAAATCCTTAAGAAAGTTTTGAACTTTCTTTCCGTCTTCCTAATCTAGCACTGACTTGATTGTCGGAGGCTCTTACGCCGGTACCACTCCGGTACTCGATCATCTTTCTCTTCCCTTTTCAGGTACGACGTCGTTTCGGGTCGCCGCGGAATCCCGCATCATCAGTTGGCGCTAGAAGAAGGGTGGAAAGAAAGTTCAAAACTCTCTTAGGGATTTGTGTTGTCCCTTCTATGTTAACCCGAAAGCCCTCTTTATGGGGGTGCCAAGTTGTATTAAAGAAGGAGTAGTATTCCTTATACTTTTCCAACACGGAAGGGAGAACGTATTTTTATCCTTATCAAAGATAATGGAGTTTATCTTGATTTACAGCTTTGTGTGACGGTCAAACTTCTGAAGACTCCTCATTAAATAGATAGGAGAGAAAAGAAAGGAATTGGCAATATTGTTGTTTGGATAACACAAATGAGAGAAAAGAAGAGAAATGATAATAATAAAATTACTATTTTACCCTTTTTGGTAGGGTTAGTAAGTAGGGCAAAATCATTTCAGCCTCCCTATTCTCGTTCACCGTTCTCTCTCTAGAATTACCAATCGCCTCCATCTCTCTATTCTCATTTTCATTCTCATTCTTACAGATCATTTCTCTTTCTTTCTCTCTCCCCCCAACAGCAAACTACAAAATCTATAGGAATCAGAAGATCAAATCCTATATCAGCATATCATTTCAGATTGTTCCAAAAATCAAAATCAACTAATCAAGGTGTGTAATTTTTGTTTTGCAACTCTATCTCTCGCTCTCTGCAATTGCAAACTACATATATATATATTTCAGCCTTCCCAAAAGCCTCCATCTCGTTCTCAGCCTCCCCCTCCTCTCTGTGCAACTGTGAAAATCAAAACCCATATCCACGTATCATTTCAGATTGTTAAAAAAATCAAAACCCATATCTATCAGTTTCCATCACTCGCTGTTTCAGCCTCCCCAATAGCTTCCATCTCGTTATCAGCCTCCCACTCTCTCTCTCTCCAACTGTAAACTTTATATATATATAACCGGTTCTCTCTCAACTGCCCCTTCTGTAATTTGTTCCAAATCCCTCCAAATCTTGTCAATTTTAGAGGAATTCCAAATGGGGAATTTTGAGGGATAGCTATTTCTCCAATTTTTTTCTTTTCTCTCTTTTTCTTCCCAACCAAACACCCTAAATACAATCCTTCCCTTTCTTTCTCTCCAAATCCCCCTAAATCCCTCAATCCAAACAGCCTAAAACTCGTCCACATTCATTCCCCCACGAATCTACTGATCTTCGTTTAAGCTACGCATATCTCTCTCTAATCTCTCTATATATTCACAGCCACTCGCACATACATTGTATATGTGTTTGTAAGGTGTTGCAATAATTTCATGGAAGTTTCAGCGATTCACTCATCTTGTGGTCGATCTACGTACCTATACTGCGAATTTGACTGTTTTAGACGTTGTTCTTGTTGTTGTCTGCTTTGAATTTTGCTCTTATTGTGTTAGGGTTTTCTTGTTTTTTGATCAATTCGATTTTCGAAGCTATGGATATGACGCATTCGCAATCGAATCTCTCTCTAGGGTTTCTGTCTCACACATCGACGCCTCACCGAACGAAAATCGCTGATGATTCGATTACGTTTCAGATTGACTCGGGTTTCCGTGATCTGTCGCACCCGGTTCCGATTCCCCTCCAATTGATGGAGCAACAGACGGAAAATGATAAGGATGAGAACCAGAATCAGGAGAGAGAGAGTGGTGGTGAGGAGAGAGAAGTCGAGGAATTCAGGATTTTGGGCCACTCAATGTGTTTGAAGAGGAAAAGGGAATGTGAGTCTTCGTCTTTGAAACGCATTTCGGTTGATCAACATAGCCTGGAATCGCGGCGAAATGCCGTACGTGCTTGGGGCAATCAATCACTCCGTGTTGCAGATCCTGATGTGTTTGAGATTATGGAGAAGGAGAAGAAGAGGCAATTCAAAGGAATTGAATTGATAGCGTCAGAGAATTTCGTGTGCCAAGCTGTTATGGAAGCTCTGGGGAGCCATTTGACGAATAAATACTCAGAAGGAATGCCGGGTTCAAGGTATTACGTTGGTAATCAGTACATAGATGAGATAGAAATACTGTGTTGCAAGCGTGCTTTGGTTGCTTTCAATCTTGATCCAGAGAATTGGGGTGTGAATGTTCAACCGTATTCTTGTACTTCTGCAAATTTTGCAGTCTATACGGGGCTACTGTTGCCTGGTGATAGAATAATGGGATTGGATACACCTTGCGGAGGAAACACTAGTCATGGATACTATACACCAAATGGGAGGAAAGTTTCTGGGGCTTCTATTTTTTTTGAAAGCCTCCCCTACAAGGTGAACCCGCAAACGGGGTATATAGATTTTGACAAGCTCGAGGAGAGGGCACTTGATTTTCGGCCCAAGATACTTATTTGTGGTGGTAGTTCATACCCTCGGGAGTGGGATTATGCAAGTTTTAGACAGATTGCTGATAAGTGTGGAGCGGTTTTGATGTGTGATATGGCTCAAATTAGTGGTCTTATTGCAGCTGAGGTGCAAATTTGTTATCCTTGTTTATTTGCTTTGCCTAAGGAATTATTTTTTATTTACAAATTGATTATGTGTTCTTAATTAATACATCAGATGTTTATTCTATTTTAGAGATGATGCTTGGTTGCTCTTTTAGTGATTTAGTTGTTTGGAGTTCTGTCTGTCTATTGAACTAGGGGTATTTGTTTTTTGGTTCTTCATAATAGTGAATATTGTCAAGGGAATACTTTTAATTGGGAAAACGAATGGTTTTAACTGGAAGGAACAGATCCTTTTTACTATGTTGGTTAGCTATGAAACCAGCACCGGGTTCAACTTGCCGGTCTTGGGATTTTTTATTTTATTTTTTTTGCATCATCCATAGTCATTTACCTTATCATCTTTTGGGAATGCCTAGGGAATAATTATGCGAAATTTTTAACATCTCAATTTCAGTTTTTCAGAGGTGAAACTAAATTCTGTAAGATCATGATGGTTTTCAGAAGTTGAACTGCGTGTAACAAAATCTCCAGTGAAACATTCCATAAAACATGCCTATTTCTTACATCTTGCAGATGGCCCAAGTGGTGTTAGGGGATGCTTCAGTGAAAGTCTGATATTTAATCATGATCTAATAGTCAATACATGTATCACATATGGAATGGGAATTTCATGCTTCAAGAATAATATGTTGTGACCTACTTTACTTAGGGAACTCTGTTATGGTTCTCAATCAATCTTGTTTCACATGAGACATTCAAATTCATGTTTGATGAAATTTTCTAAGAATTTTCTTTATTAAGAATTTAATTTTTGAAACATTGACTGGAACTTCGCCTGTTATTAGTGTCGCAACCCACAACCGAAGTTGCTGGACAAGTTTGGTGGTTTGGTTCAAAATTTTCAGCAGTCATATTTCTTTTAGTACTATAGTTGCATCTTTGTGCGTCTCATCTGCTGCAGTTTGACTGATTCTAAATCAGAAAGTTTATGTGATCCTCTTTGTGGTGGTTTCAAAGTAGACTTTTGTTTTGACGATTAACAAATATGATATATTCCGTCCATTCTCTGTTGGAATTCTAGACTATAATTTAGGTTATGTATTCACATGATAGGTTAGCTGGAAGCCTGCTTGCCATTGAAACAAGCCTGTTCCTGAGCAACTTGATTTGGCTCTCTAGTGGGGTCCTTTAGTTGGTAAACAAATTAAGCCTGAACCTAATATTTAATCTTTGTAATAACAACCAGGACCTAATCAGACCCAACTTGGTTCAGTGAACCTGTGAACAGTTACAACCCATAAGATACTGGTTTAACTTTTAAAATATTTTATTGAGTAATATTAGAATCTACCAATAACAATGTAATTCAACTATGGGCTAAACCTGTTATGTCTCATATTTTTCTTGGCCTTTAAAAATAAAAGGCCTGTATATTGTCTTAGGCTTTTAAACAAATTGTGGATTTAGAGTCTATGAAGTTTGAAGGCTACAATTATAGAAGAAAAGAATGGAACCCTATACACTCTTCATATCTATTCATCAACTTGCAACGATCAAGTTTCGCATCTCTCTCCTTAGCTTGCAACCTTTAGGGGCGATTGAAGCTTCTTGTTCTTTGGGTATGTGACTCTTACCTATATATACATATTCGGTTATATGTAGAGATTATATATTTAAGAAACATATGACAATATTTAGAGATTATATTTGTCTATGTATATATACAGATGCAATTCGTTTGAGGTCAAGCTCAAACTCGTCTTAATATGAGCAGAGGTGGAACACCTTTTTGTGTTTGACTTTGGTGAGCCAAGATTGAACAACTCAAATGTTGGCTAGTCTTTGTTCAATTTTAGTCCTACATGTTAGTGTTTTATCTAATTCAGTGTTGGAGGATTTTTATTTTTTATTTTTCTTTTCCCTCTCTCGTGGAAAATAACTCCCACAATGTTCTTGGAGAGATTTGAAACTGCCACCTTTCAGAAGAGGAGATACCACTAGGCCACATGCTTTGGTGACATTTCATTATTGGAGGATGGCTTGGTGAAAAATATAGTTTTATTTGAAAATATTCAACAATTGTTGAAGGATGGCTTTGGTGACATTTCATTATTGGAGGATGGCTTGGTGAAAAATATAGTTTTATTTGAAAATATTCAACAATTATGGTCATAAGTTGCATTTTATCCCTATTATTGAATTTTTTTAGAAGCATTTGTATGGTTATATATTTTTATTCTGAAACTGGGATCTTGATCTACAAAAGTTGCTTCTGGTCTCCTCACAAAAGGAATATTTTCCGCCCTTTTATCTTAAAAGCTGAATATGTAATCTTGAATTTCTTGTCCTAGTCTTTCCTCTTTCAAATTTTCATATCTGCTAGACTGTTTTAAGTTGCTTTTTGTTATTGTTTTGGTGTCCTGTTTACCTTTTTTCTTTAAGGAAATTTTGTTCATGATCTGTTGATCATTTTTTTCATAGTGGGTTTGGTTGGTTTCTCTACAGGAGTCTGCAAGTCCCTTTGAATACTGTGACATTGTTACCTCAACAACTCACAAAAGTCTTCGAGGTCCTAGGGGTGGCATTATTTTTTTCAGGAAAGGTTCAAAGCCAAGGAAGAGAGGGATGCCCTTGAGTCATGGTGACAGTGACAAATATGATTTTGAGGAAAAGATAAACTTTGCTGTTTTTCCAGCACTACAAGGTGGACCACATAATAATCACATTGCCGCCCTTGCAACAGCCTTAAAACAAGTTGCCACTCCTGAATACAAGTCATATATGCAGCAAGTGAAGAAAAACGCCCAGGCTCTAGCATCCGCTTTGCTCAGAAGAAATTGCAGACTCGTAACAGGAGGCACCGATAATCATTTGTTACTTTGGGATTTAAGGAATCTTGGACTAACAGGTAATATGTCCTTTTTTCACGTCATATATATATATTTTTAATTTTATGCTTGGTGCTTTTTCCATTTTCTTTATAAAATGAATTAGAAACTATGTTGATGCAATCATGCAGTGCTTGGATGTTTTGTATTCAATCAATGGATTTTGGTTTTGGTACTTTTTTTGTAATCTTCTTTATGCATTATATATTCACATACCAATTGTTTAGTTATGTGAAATCTACGAGACATTTATGAGAGAGCAGAGTGGAGTAGGTAACAAATGCCTAGACTGAACAAAATCGGTGAAGGAGAAGAAAGAACTCTTAGATATACAACATGGAGGTCCAGGCTTAACATATCATGCATAAACATATGGTTCTAGGCTGTTGGGCATGAGGTTGGGCTTCCCCTTGACCTGAGTGCCAGCCTGGGTCCCCTAAGGTCCCAGACGTGGCCCAAAATATCCTTGATGCCAAACTTTTGGACTGGCCTGAAAACATCCTGAAAAATTGCCCGATTGTTTGAAGAAGGGAAAAATAGGAAACCGTTACCAAGCCCTGATTGTCAAAATGGACTTTTTTTTCCCTCCCTCTCCTCCAGACCTTCAAAATAACCAAATTGCGGTTTGACAAAAAATTTAGAAATTAGGATCTAATGGTTCATTTGTTATCACAACTATCTTCTCTTTTCATCACTCAAGTTCTCTTGATCTCAACTGTCTCAACTGATCAAAATTTTCCTTTTCCTTTTGCTACATTTTGTATGGTTTTTTTTGTTGAAGAAAATCAAGAATTTGTGTTTTCTGAATTCTGAGGAATCCCTGACTTTCTGCTTATAATCTGTTTTGGTTGTTATTTCCATTTTCTGTTAGTGTTTTATTTGCGTGCAGGTGCTCCTTTGGGGAAAAGAAAAACTTATTTTTCTTCTTCCTTTTTTCAACTTATTTATTTATTTATTTATTTTGTTATAAATGTAATGTATACTTATCCGTTTTTTGTGTGAATCAATTTAAGAAAACATAATGTAATAATAATTGAACTACATTTGCGATAGAGCTTTAACAATATAAAAATATTGTTGGTTGTATAGTGCAGAAGCAAGCCCCCGATACTTGGAGAGTGGTGCCCCTTTGTATCTAGTGGGGCTTATGGTGGGAGCGGAACAGGCGGTCTGTTGAAATTCTCTACGCTTAGTTCTTTATTTTTTTGGGTACAGGGGTCAATTTGTAAATCTGTAGGACATATAGTTGATTTTGTGGCCACGTTGTTTATATAGTGGAATTGGATGTCTGTCCTTGTGTGTAGTTTCTTGTGAGTTGGGATGCGCTCCCCTTTGGAGATATTGCTTATAAAAAAATATTGTCTATGCTACTTCTCTCACGCATTTTTTGTTCATGTAGGATTCTTTTTAATTGATAACTATAGTTATCAGTCTATCCAAGTCATTGATTTGAAAGATGTAAATTCCAGAATTTAACTTTATTTTGAGACATGAAAAAAAAAAAAAAAAAAAAACTGTTATGATCACCAAAAAATGAAGATGGAATTCCTGGTATTTTAAAAATAATTAATTCTCTCTGGTAAACCGCACTTGTGCCACTGTTGGTTGTTGAGATAATTTTAAATACTTCTATTATCCTTAAGATATCTTAAAGTCATGGAGTGGAAAGTTTATGAAGCTTGACTATTTGTGTGAGTGAAGACTGAAGAGAGTTTATGAAGCTTGACTCTTTGTGTGTCTCCTAGAATCCTAAATTAATTAGAAGTTTATTTCATAAAATATAAATAAAAAATAATTAAAGGCAAGGATGATGATATAAAAAATAAAATCATATTGAGATTTATATAGAGATATAGATATACATATAAGTACCCTTTAAAGATTATTTTAGTCTAACAAGTAATACTTATCAAAAAATAAATAAAAATTAGTCTAACAAGTTATATATATATATATGTATATGTATTCAAACATTTTAAGTATTATTATATTATATATGTTAACAACATATATAGACATGAAAGTATAATACAAGTATGGATATACGATTTAACTATAATATATATTTTATAAGTTTTGTATAACTTCTACGGTAAGTCTTATAGTTTTAGTAATATATAATTATTAAACTTATAAGCACTACTTATATTAATATATTGCCCAGTAAGTATTATATGTGTATATATATTTTGACAAGTGTACTGTATAAGTAATTAAAAGTATAACACATTGTTTACTTGTACTTTATTAGTATCAGTAATTTAGTTACACGTTGTCAAGTTCTTAAGCTAATACTTTTTAGGCTAGGTTATGTTTATTGACCATTGTGTATAGATTATAATTATATATGTTAATATAAATTCTATAAAAAAAGTTAATATGTATAAATTACGTTTAAAGTTTTAAACTATAAAAAGTTTGCTCATATAAAATGTGTTTATATAAAGTAAACATTATACTTGTAAATTGTATATAAGTTAATATGTAAAAATTACATTTAAAGTTTTAAACTATAAAAAAGTTTATAATTGTATAAAATGTGTTCATATAAAGTTATAAACCTTATACTTCTATAAAAGATATTTGCATTCCACTTTTCTCCACTTGCACTCCACTTACTTTTTTTTTTAACAAGGAAATGACATAATCTCCCTTAAAAATACATTTAAACTCCACAATTATTAAAAAAGGTGCCCTTACTTTTGAGTAATAATTTTCTTTTCATTTGTTTAAAAATTCAAGCGGAGTGCAAATGTATAAAAGTAGTGTGTGAATATTATCACGATAAATTATATATATAAATTTATATACTTGCATAGAAAGAAATTACTGGTGATGTAGGGCAGGGCCTGACAGACCCTGGCCGGGCGGACCTTGGGCCTCCATTTTGCCATCTTGGCTCGTCCCATTCTACATCGTTAATTGTAGTTAAGTCCATACGTAGTCAAGTATGCGAATCTGAGTAATTTACATGCAAGGATGAACTTAGCAAAATTTCATTGTGGCCCTCGTTGATGCCAAAGCATGTATTGATTTTTTTTTTTTGTAGCTCTTAAATAAATTTAAAATACATTAAGTTGGGTGATGATCTTAAGTTTTTTGATGTGATCATGTGACATATTTATTAATAGTTATGTGAAGGAGATTTAGGCTCGAGGGGCTAGGGGCCTCTCCGAGCCCTTAGCTATGTCTAACCCTGTTTTCAAGGTTGTAACTGACAGTGATACCAAAGTAACAACACCTTTGATCATTTCCTTTTTCAGAAACTGAGTATCATCTTATGGGTTTGTTGCATTATTTACAATGAATTAGCAGTTGTGAATTGCAATTAAAGGTTAGATAAGATTACTTGTTCAACCACTCTTTCTTCTTTTGGAGGAGGTAATGTTTACGTTGTTGAAGATTGACAAGTCAGTTGTTGGGTATTTTTGCTGTCATCTCTCTCTCTCTCACTCTCTCTCTCTCTCACACACACACACACTTGTGAAAAATCCTTCATCCCTTTCCCTAGTGTATTATTACCCCTTCTTTTCTCTACAGTATTATTTTCTTTATTCTTATAAATATCATATTGCAAATTTTTATTTATTTATTTGTGACGATCTCTTAATTTGTGAGTTTTCAATCATGTGCATACAACGTGGCAACCGTTATTAAAATTAATAGAGCTATTTGAATGGACATTTATATTTTATAGGTTCACAGTAATTTTCTTTGGTATTGGTGTAATATGTTCGGCATCGTGTTGTACTTTCTTAATTTTGGGATAAGGACTAGGTTTAGAGAATATGAACGGGTTTTGGCCATAGACTTGTGCATTATATGGAAAATGTTTATTGTTAGGAAGTAGGTAAGCTATTGAGAAACATTGGAATTAAAATAGATTCATTGATTGGAATATTGGCATCTTTGCTGGGAATCTCCACAATTGCAGTTGCGGAGATGTAATAAATTTGGAATCAGTGTTTTGTTTTATTTTGTGCTATGATACAGGGACTTGGCCACGTGTTTCGGGTGTGGGTATGTGTGTAAACGTCGTAGTTATCAACTTCTCAAACCCAAGGGCACAGATACAGTGAATCCAAAAGTGATATCTCCATCCTCTGCTGAAGTATATCGAGTTATAGATCTGACTAAATATTTATATTATCTAATATCTTCCTTTCATTTTCATGATTAAAATAATGTTTTCAATATTTTCTACCAAAAGCAACATATAAAACAGTATATAATAAATTTGAAATGCTGGATTCTTTTGTTAGGTGCATGTCTAACCATACTTGTGAGGCACATCTCATGACCATGTAGAAAAGTTGCATCAAATTCAGGGTTAGGGTTACATGATGCATTTTTTGAATAGTCATAGTAACATGGATTTTATACCCAGCGTACTATTCCGTCTAGACTGATATGAATTCATCCTTTATTGACTGGAAGTGATTTAAGGAGTTTTATACCCTTTGTTTGCATTAAGTCATTGCTCTGCTTCTAAGTTACTGTATTTAGCTATTCAGAATCCGCAATTCTTTATATTAAATACCTCCCTAGTCCCTAAAGAAGATGGTTTAAAGCACTAAAAAGAGCTAATAGCAAAAGCAGAGCTAGTAGCCAGCCGCTGCCAGCTCTTCCTATATAATGTAGCTTCCAAAGATTCAAAACTATTGCCTTATAGAGCTTCCCTACTCCCCATGCTAAATTCAAGGAGATACTAGAACAGCTATGGTAGTAGCCTTAGATTTAGCTCTAGCTGCCAGGAATTAAGTTTTGAAGCTTTGCTTTTTATTTCATTTAGCTGTAGTTGATTTGGATTAAACACCTGTATGATCTGGAAGCACACTCAATTGAAATCACTTAAGGAGCTTTCTTACCCCCAATTGTGCTAGCATCTGGGCAATCTCAACTAGTTGATGGCTACAGTTAACTGCCTTGCTAGGAAGTTACTGATTCTATAGGGGTCCAACTAGTGGTTAAAGCCAGTGGAATCTTCATTGTCCCTATTGCAAAGAGGGTTCCTATATGGACCACCGAGCTGATGATAGGGGCAAAAGCACCCTCTGGCCAGGTCCCACTCTTACTGTCTCTGTCTCTTGGACAAGTTCAATCTCTGAAGTAGCAGTTGGAAAAGATGGCTGCTGTCAAATGACAGAAGAATGGAGCTCATCTCCTTGGTGCTTGTAAGCCTTCACATCTTCCCGCTTCTATATAAAAGCCCTTTGCCTCCACCAGTGTGTTTACCTAGAGCTCTAGAGTACCATCTGATCGATCTCCTCTACTAATCTCCTTAGCGGATTATAATGCTGGCAGGCCTGGGGTTTCACTTCCAAAGAAAATGTATTTATTAGCTTGTGTATATTTGTTGAGATTAACAGTGTGTATGGTCTGGAAAAAAAAGAGGAAGGGGGTTATGGAGAAGGGGAAGGAGAGAGGACCTTCCTATTTGGTTGATGGGATAGGGATATGGGAGGAGGGAGCTATACAGTTTTCTATTTTCTGCTTAAAAGTCTGCAGAGAAAGGGAAGGAAGCATATTTCCTCCCTTTAGACTTTTTTTACATTTATGGTATCATGATCTAATCAATCAATAATTACACAACCACACCCACCCCCCCACCCCCCCCCCCCCCCTGGCCTCTTCCTTCCTTCCTCCTCCTCTTCTTTTTTTCTTTTTTTCCCTTATTTCCAAAGTATTTGACAGAAATCAGTTAAATGCTTGTTATTTTTTCTTTATGTATGCTTCTTTAATCCCTCCTACATTCTCCTTCTTCCAATTTTCCATTCTTCCTATAGAATAATATACCATGAAGTTTTTGAATTTCATCATGTCTATTATTTGTTCACCTGATTCTCTTACGTGTCCTTATCTCTTCTCTGTTTTTGTGTTTTGTAGGTAAGAATTTTGAGAAGGTCTGTGAGGCATGTCACATTACAATTAATAAAATTGCTATAATTGGTGATAATGGCACTATTACACCGGGAGGTGGTATAAGGATTGGTAAGTGAAGAAATTACTGCATGTCAATGTGCAAAATATTAACTTGAACGAGTTGGGTTGTCTGTCCATGAGCAGTCTGTGCTTCTATTAATTTTTGTGTTCCTGCCCTCAGGTACACCTGCCATGACCTCGAGAGGTTGTCTGGAGGCTGATTTCGAGACAATGGCCGACTTTCTCCTCAGAGCTGCCCAGATTGCGAGTTCATTGCCGAGAGAGCATGGGAAATTGCAGAAGGCTTTCCTGAAGGGTCTTCAGAACAACAAAGATATTGTTGAGCTTCGTAGCCGAGTTGAAAATTTTGCCACTCAGTTTGCAATGCCCGGATTTGACGTGTAAATGCCATTTTTGGCGGTAAACTTGTGGGCGAATGTCTTTCTGCATCCGAGGACGGATCTCTGCTCCACAGGATAAAGAAATGCAAAAGTCTGAGTTCAATTCTTTCCTCTGCACTGGTTTGGCTTCTCTATGATTGTTTTTGCTACCCTTTGTGATCAGCCAACCTTTAGCAAATCACAGCAAGCCACATCAAAATACTCGTCCTCACTCCATGATAAAGTGGTACTATTTTGGTAACGCCATCCGTTCTGCTGGTTTTGTAAACGATGATTGCTCTTGTGCCGGATTTCACATGCCGTGATTGGAGAAAGGGTGAGGATTACAGTGGGATGTGAATACGATTCTGGAGTGGCTCTATTGATCCACACAAATTAAATTTTTTTTGGAGAGCTTGGTAAATATAGTAAACCTTGATATTGGGGGAAAATGTGAAAGCCAAATCCTCTACTAGCATATGATACATTTGAGTTCAAAGTTGGGTCAATAATCTTCTTTGTTCACAGTTGCTCATGTTTTACAATAACTGCTAAATTATATATTGATATAAAACAGAGATCATTTTGTTCTTCATTCTTAATATTTAGATGGATTTGGTATATTTAATTGTAGTTGTCTGTAAAAACTTTGTACTTGGTTTTGATCTTGTCAATTGTTCTTTGGGACTTGTCAAATTGGTCTGGTTACAGAAAGGAAAGCGTGTGACTTGTGCTGCTGTGAAGTTGTTGAATTGGCATATTGGGCTTGAAAATTTTGAAGTTCAAATGTGTTATATATGGTGTGGAATGCAGGTGAGTTTATTGATTATTTTTACACAAAATGGTGTTCGTATGTCATTTTTTTTTCCGGGCATTACCAAGTGGCCTAGTTGATAGATGGGTAGAAGGCTCAAGTCCCGGAATGGATATGACCGTGTTCAAGTCTCCCCTTCCTTCTAGTTTACCGGATTAAAAAAAAAAAAAAAGTCATTAAAACTCATCATTTAAAACTCTTGGTGTAGGCAAAAATGCCAGTTCAGTGTTTGTTTTGTATTATTCAATAGGAAATACACTATTTTGCTATGTTTGGAAGCAACACGGGTTGGAAGCATGGAAATCGGTGATATTTACTTGTTTTATGATTATTTATTTATTTACTTCCGAATAAACATGATATATAATATGCATGCATATATTATCTATTATTCAATTGGTATGCAATTTAGTTCATGAACATTAAACGAAAAATGATGTTTAGATATGGTATTAAAATTATTAGGGTTAAGGACAAAAAAAATTGCCTTGCTATTTAAAAAATGTGCAAGAAACATTCCTATTGGAAAAAAAATTATATATAACTCCTTGTATTATTCATCATTTGAGCAATTTGCCCTTTATTAAATAGATCTATTGAAAAAGAGCCGTTGGTGATCTCATCTATTTCTAAAAATCCAAAAGTGCCCTTTTTATGTGAGAAGAATGTTCCTACCAATTTTGTATACATTTAAACATTAAATGGGTCTGTTTGGGTGTGTTTCAAGACTTGTCCAAGTAAAACATTATCTCTCTCAATTTTCTTCTCTCTTAAATATCTTTTTGTGATTGCGGTATTATCTCTCTAATTTTTTTTTTCTTTCTATAATATCTATTTGTTCTAAATTTTTTCTCTCCTCTCTATAATATCTTTTTGTGCTGTCTCTATCTCAATTTTTTCTCTCTCTAAATATCTTTGTGTGGCTGCCCATGTATATGTCTCTTTAATTATTTTTTTAGAGAAGTGATAGATCTTCCGACCTCAATTGCCGACTACTCCTTCGAATATAACGTGACTGGGAATGAGTCGAAGAGAAAGAGATGTTTACGAAATTTTTTTTAAGAGTTCTAACGGGATCCAACCACGTTGTATTCGGAGGAAGAGTCGACACTTAAGGTCGGAAGACCTATCATTTCTCTATTTTTTATTTTTATCGTTCAATTTTTTTTTCTCTCTATAATATCTCTGGGAATGAGTCGAAGAGAAAGAGATGTTTACGAAATTTTTTTTAAGAGTTCTAACGGGATCCAACCACGTTGTATTCGGAGGAAGAGTCGACACTTAAGGTCGGAAGACCTATCATTTCTCTATTTTTTATTTTTATCGTTCAATTTTTTTTTCTCTCTATAATATCTCTTTGTTCTAAATTTTTTTTTTCTTTATAATATCTCTTTGTGGCCATCTCTCTACCTCAATTCTCTCTCTCTAAAATATTTTTTTGTGACCGCCCATATATATATATATATATATATATCGCTAATTCTCTCTAAATTTTTGTTGTCTCTCTAAAATATCTCTTTGTTTTAATTTTTTTTTTCTCTCTATAATATCTCTTTGTGGCCGTCTCTCTAATTTTTTATTTTATTTTCTCTCTATAATATCTCTTTGTTCTAATTTTGTTTTTTCTCTCTAAAAATCCGTTTGCTGCCAATATTATCTCTCTAATTTTATTTTTCTGTGTAAAATTTCTCTATCGGCCAATCTCACTCTCTTATTTATTATTTTTTTTTTCTGAATGTTTTTCTCATTTGTTTCCTCTTTGCTTTGCTCTTATAATTTGTTTTCTCATTTTTTTTTTTCCCTCTTTGCTTTGCTATTAAATATTGTGTTAATAGATATGGAATTGGTTGGAAATTCAAGGAGCCAATCACAACCACTCATACAACTGCATGTAACATAAATTACAGATAAAGAACGTAATCAACCAAAATGAGCCCAAAAAAAAAAAATAAAAATAAAAATAAAGGTACGCTGCACTTATAGTGCATCTCGATCAAAATGAACTTGGTCAAAAAAAAGTTATAACATCACTGCTAAAGTATACTGTAAGTATACAGCTTCAGTCTCAACCACAATAAAAATTAAAAACAAGTTATAATAACATTAATTGTGAGGGTGAGGGTAAGATCGTTCATGTTTTAAGAGAGCGACTGAGGGGGTCTGTAGTGGTTTGGGTGTGTTTGGTGGTATCTAAAGGTTTGGGTGTGTGGGCCTTAGGTGCAAGAGGAATAAGTAAAATATTAATTATTCCAGTTTTTCAATAATTTTTTTTTTTTTTTTTTCACTCTTTATGTTTTTTTTTTTTTAATAGCTAATAATCAAACAATTAAGTTTTTTTCTCCCTTTTTGTTCATATATTGGCTATTTTCTTTCTCTCACGTTTTAAGATTATTTTGAGAGTTTTAATAAAATTCTCTTTAAAAAAATGGGTTGTCGGATCAAATATCTGATAAATTACAAAATGAATTCAACAACAAATAATTTGTCAAATTATTAAATCAGATCGTAGATAATATTTTATTGGCCTTATGGACTGTTCATGTCAAACTGTTAGCGTCTTTCCTTGGGTTAAACAAGGAAAAAAAGAAAGGGGCTGTGTAATACAATTTTTCATTCTTTCCTGGTAAAAAGTTAACTAAAAGTCAAACCGTTAGCGTTTATTATTTTAATCTTTCTTAAACTAAATTATTTAGCGTTTATTATTTTAATCTCATCTTAAATTTATTTGTCACTTGTGAGAAAGTAATTAAATGTGAAAAGTCAATAATCAGGGCATTTTTATTCGGGAGAAGAACATGATTTTTATATAAGAAAATGAGAAAATTTAATAAAAACTGGTGTATGTTTAGCTAGAGCCCAATAGACACATGGAGTGGTGGGTCCCACCCATTTCATGTGCCTAATTTTTTTTTAATTTATTTAATTTATTTTTTTCCTGGCGGCGGCGGCGGCGGCAGCGACAGCAACAACCCAACAACCCATATCACAAAAAGACAAAGCCCCACAAAAACTCAAGCAACAGCATCCGCCTCCACAATGCGAAGAAATGATGACGGCATAGAACTAAACACTGAATCGGCATCCATATCAACACTCGATAGAGAAGTCGAAGCATGGGCAGCCATATTACCCTCCCTTCTCACATGAGCAATGGAGAATGTATGAAAAGATTTAAGCTCTTGTTGTACAACAACCATTAAAGAAGCTACTGCACCCTCCACAGAGCGAACTCCTGTTAAAGCCTCCACCACCAATTTAGCATCCGACTCAAAACAGACCGCCTGAAAATTAAAGACTTTAGCCCAGTAAACAGCACGACGGAATGCAAAAGTCTTAGCCTTAAATACAGACGAGGATGAACACGACTTAAAGATCACAGCTTGAATAATAGAGCCATCTGAATTTCGAAACACCGCCCTGTCACCCCCTAACAAAGAAGATTTGGAAAAACTAGCATCCACGTTACATTTAATCATGTTTCGCAACGGATGACTCCAACAGTTAGAGGATACAATAGGATTCAATGGAGAAAGCAGCTGTTTACATTTTTGCTGCACTTTTATAAATTCCCAAAAACGAGCTGCAGCTAAATTAGCCACCAATAAAGGATCCCACACTTCATTTGCAAAAACCAAGTGATTTCTAGCATTCCAAATCAGCCAAATATAAAAGGAAGCCAACCCAATCATAGCACATTTATTTGCCATTGAATGCAAAACATCGCTCGAAATTCTATTCCACCATTCAACAAAAGAAGAAGGAGAATGTTGAGAAAAATCCCAGCGAAGGAGAGATAACTTCCATACCTGAACTGAGTGAGAACATCGAAAAAACAGATGACTAATATCCTCAACCTCCAGCCCATACCTCAGACACATCGGATCTTACAAGCAGTCTCGGCGGACTAATGCATACCTTGTTGGAATAGCACCATAACAACATTTCCAAATAAAGTGTTTGATTTTAGAAGATAAAGAAAAACTCCACAACTTACTCCATAACTGCCCCGACACCCGTGGTGTAACCTCCCATGTCATCCTTTGCAGATTCTAGGTAATAAGAGACACGGCTAACTGATATGTAGATTTAACACTAAACCTGCCTGAACAATCAACGTCCCAAATTTGAATATCTTCCAACGGCCTATGACGTAAAGAAATCTTTGATATGTGATGAATTTCCATGGACGAAAATAATTGTCGCAACACATCCATGCGCCACGCGTTACAATTACTTTCAATAAGCTCATCAACCCAAGAAAAACCCAACCCAGCCACCCGCGGCCCCAAAGGCAGTGATAGACCTGGGATCCATTTATCTCACCAAATGTGGATAGATTTTTCATTTCCCACCACCCAACGCAAACCATGCCTTAGCAATTCCTGCACCGACCAAATACTACGCCAAGCCCAGGATGGATTGTAACCAAGTGTCGCATCAACAAATGAACACGATGAAAAGTATTTCGTTTTGAATAAATGATAAACCACCCCTTGCTTAGACACTAGGAATTTCCAAGCATGCTTAGCCAATAAAGCCAAATTAAAAGCTTCAATGTCACGAAACCCTAACCCACCATCCCTTTTACTTTGACACAATAGATCCCAAGGAGCCCAATGAATGGAATTGCATTTACCAAACTTCCGCCACCAGAAAGAGCGCACCTGCTTCAATAACTCAAAACACAAACCACGAGGTAACCTGAAATCAGACATAACAAATGTTGGGAGAGCATTCAACACTGTCTTAATTAAAACTTCCTTACCCTTATCTGAGAGAGCATGTTGCTGCCAAGACGCTAAACGATCCTGCATACGTTGGAGCAAGAATTTGAACATATCATATTTGGACCGACCAATTATCGTTGGCAACCCTAGATACTTTGTCTGAAACCCATCCTCCGACAGACCCAACAACTGACTCAAGGTACGCCTTAATTGCATAGGAGCATTCTTAGAAAAAAATGTGCCTAATTTATGTGAAAAGCAATGCTTTGTGAATTTATATTTGTATAATTGTATATAGGATAATGATATCTTATTCACCAATGAATAAAAAATTCATACACACTATACGTGATCACTATGAATGTAAAGAAGGTAATTATATATATAAAAATATATAATAATTATATTCAACAATTATTATAAGGGGCTATTTGGTTAGACGGAAATTTATGATGGAAAGTGAAAGTAAAAAACAAGTGAAGTGAAGGAAAATAAAATCAAGTTTGTAGCACACGTTTGGTTAGTCGGAAAATTGAATGAGAAAATATTATTTTATTAATTTGGAAAACAAATAGAAAAGAAAATAATTGTACTTACTAAAATTACCCTTGTGATTTTAAATACTAAAAATAAAATAAAATTGTGTTACTTCCCTTACCCAATTATTTATATTCATTTTTAAAAACAATAAAAATAAATAATGATAATAATGATAAAAAATTAAATTATTAAGAATTATAATATAATTATTCATATTAAATTTTAAATTGTTTATATGTGAGAAAAGTTTTAGCAGTTAATTTTAGAGGCTTATTTCAAAAATACATAGTAACACAAATATTTGAAAAGTTACGTGACAAATTTTTTTTATAATTAGTGTTCTAAGTTATTGTCATATACAACTATATTATAAGTCTATAAAGAGTTAATCACATATACAAATCATCAATTGATAAGGGGTATAATGGGAAGTTAAAATATAGAGTCACAACTTTCACGAGAAACTAAAATTTTTTAGTGTTTTATGTGAGAAACATTTTGAGAAAAATTAACAACTTTTAGTAAAACTTATAATTTTTAGTTACGGCATTGGTTCTACCAATAAATCCAATGCTGTCTCTAGGGGCATAACGGCGTTGGCAGGGATCCGAGAAGTAATAAAGTCAATGTTGTCTTCAGGGGCATAGTGACGTTGGCAGGGATTTAGGAGGTAAATTCTTAAAATCTCGCTTTCGAATCGCACTCCTTAAATGGTGGGTGGGTGTGTCGTGGGCCAGTGCGAGGTACTGGTAGACTACCACACTGGGGGGCTACGGGTGTACAATCTCACATCGTCTGGATAAGGGAATGGTGAAATGCTTATATGTGGTGGTGTTATTTCCAATTGGTACGAGACATTTTGGGGTAATATTCAAGAGCAAAACCGTGCGAACAAGTCCAAAATAAATAATATCATGCCATATGATGAAGCGACTCGTTACATTTCTCTGACAAAAACAAACAAAATGCATGTATATAAAATATACCAGTGTATATATATATATATATATATATATATATATATTTATAGTTAGTCTTTGAGACAATGATTCTGTGAGGCATAAAGGGTAAAAGTGGACAATAGATGCAATCACGTCCATTGTGTGATAAAAAGAAAGGACAAATTAATTGAGGGAAGAAGAGATTTTAGTTCCCAAAAGGCAATAAAAAGAAGGAAATTGGTAGACTTGGGAAACTCTCCCATTTGACAGTGAGTAGGCACTGTTGTTCTGTTGTCCTCTCATCAATTCAATAATTAGATCCAGACACATGCCAGTGACTCAGCCTCTGGGCTTCTGGCTCGAAATCATATTCTATCATTGCATTCTCAGTTACATAATCATGCCTCTCAACTAAATCAAATTTTCACTCGATTCTCCCCCACAATCTTACTCTCTTTTTATTTATTTATAATTTTTTAAAATTTTATACTTTTTATTTAATTTTAATTATTTTTCAATATACAATGCTCATTACTTACTTCTCAAATGATGCATAAAACTCGGACTAAAATTCTCTCTTACAAAACAGTATCCTGTTTCGTCTGGTTAATAATTTTTTTTACGAATATATTGTGATATTGAACCGTACCCTTTTTTGTAACATACATCACTCATTGGAGGTGACAAGACTACTATTTGGTTGGAGAGGGTTTTAATCCATAAAACTCAACTTTTCTTTCTTCAAGACAAAAATCTTACTCTGTAAACTTGTGCAAATGACAAATAATGCAAACAATTGAGATGGTTTAAACCCTACTATGACTTCCTAAAGAACTCTACCACTTTTATCATCAAACCATCTTCTAATTGTATCGAATCTTAATGTTTTCATATTTTAAAGTAGAAGGTTTGATTATTCAAGACTAATTTTTTCCCAAGATGATGATGATAAGGGTAAATTGCACGGACATTCTCTATAATTTGTCATAATTATAGAGACTTCTCTTAAAAATAAAAATATCTTACACGGACTTTTCCTCCTAGTAATGGACCAAGTAAGATATTTTTTCATTTTTAGGAGAGGTCCGAATAAATTTCTAAATCACAAGAAAGATCTCTATAATTATAACAAATTATAAAAGAGGTCCGTGTAATTTATCCTAATAATAATTATAAAAAAAAGGTTCTTTATATATTCTTCAAATAATTATTAAATTTTTTGACAAGGAGAGCCTACTCATTGTTTTTGAAAATGGTTAATTTTTATAACACTACGGGTGACAAACCGGTCAATCTTCACCCATCTAGAAGTAATGTTGTTGGTTTCCTTGATGGAGTCGCCACAACCAACAAAGCTTGAAAGTTGTGTGTGAATTTAGGAGGTGGCCAAGTTTTACGTTTATAGAAAGCCACTACTACCTTTCTCTATATAAAATATAGATAAGGCGAGTAGGGATCGTCCCAAGGGATTTGATGGTGTATCGAATCGTGAGACTATGGTAATTAGGGTTAGTAGGTCGAGTGATCACACAATTGTTGATTGATTGGTTGATTATACTAAATGAGCTAAACTATAATAAAACAATGCAATAAGATAAAGAGTAAGTAAGAAGGAAAGGTCTTGGGGTGTAGAGATCACCACCAAACAATACTATTCCAAACCATAATCAAGTAACTAATGAGGGAAATGAATGTGTTGCAACAATGTTGTGTGTGTAAAAGACATTCAATTGGTAAGGGTGACTCAACAAGTGCAAATTGTCCCAATCAACATGTGTGAGGCCACAATACATCTATTGGTAGAGGAATATATTGTCTAAACATCATGTGAAGATAACAAAATAACAATTCAAGTCATTGAACCTTTCATTAAGCTCATAGTCCAAGCAATCCATAAGGATGACTTAGTTAAACATGCATTATCTAATCATCATGTGAGAGGTACAAAATATCTATTGGGAGAGGAATAAATTGTCTAAACACATGTGAAAGATACAACATATCATAACTAATTATTAATCCTTCATTAAGCTCAAAATTCCATTACACCACAATATTAGAGCATATGCTTCTTGCATTCAAAAGCATGGAACATCAAAGAACAAGCATGAATTGTTTTCCCAACTAACACTACACTGCTTAAAAGAGAAACACAATCTATCAAGGAATAAGTATGAACCATCTAGAGACATAACAAGAGCATTACATTAAGAATTTCATATTTTGGCAATCTCAAGATTAAAGGCATTAATACACATAGACATACATCAATAACATTAAATCTAGAGGTGAGCATCTACTCTAGCATACATAGACATATAGATAGAGAAAATGATCAATTAGAAGCATTAATCCATAGAACTCAATGAATAATCAAGATCTTCATAAGTTCAAGAATCAAAATATGCATTACAACACAAATCCCTCAAAATTACACAAGATTAGGTAAAGAAAGCATGTTTGGGGCTAACTCTAGCCCCAAGAAGATGTCTAGCCACTCATGGTAGTGATGATCCAACCCTCAAGGGCTAACTCCATGGCTGTTCCTAGTTGGTGAAGATCTCCTCCAATGGTTGCTCTAGCTTCCTCCCTTCTTCCTCTCCAAGAATAGCCTCCAAGATGATTTTCAATGTGTGACAAGAGACTCTAGACTCCTCTCCAAAAAGTGTA